AGTGGCACACCAGTTCTACTGGGGAGGGCACAAAGCTCCAGGTGGGCCCCTCCCAGACTTCACCCCAGATGTCTCTTAATTTGGCTGTTTCCGATCTGCATCCTTTGTAGTCTTAAGAAGAGTGAGTTCCTGAATTCTGTGAGTAGCTCTCATGAACTATCAAACCTGTGAGGGTTCATGGGAACCCCCCTACATTTGTAGCCCATTGGTCAGAAGTTGGACCCAGTGCAGCTGGTGTCTCAAGGAGGAGCAGTCTTGTTGGGGGCCAGGACCACTGTGGGGTCTGCTCTAACAATGGGTAGTTAGTGCCAGGATTGAATTGCAGTTCACTAGCGGGGCGTGGGATTAGAATTGCGTCAAAGGGCATTATCAAGAAAGTCAAAAGACAACCCACAGAATGAGACAAGTATCTGCAAACCACAGATTTGATAAGGATTTAATATCTAGAATATGTAAGAAACTCCTACAACTTAAACAAAGAGACAGCCAATTAATAAATGGGAAAAGAACTTGAATATACATTTCTCCAAAGAGGACATACAAAGGGCCAAGAAACCCATGAAAAGATGGTCGACAATGTTAGTCACCAAGGATGGGCAAATCAAATCCATAATGAGATAGCTCTTCACATCCACCGGGATGGCTATAACAACTTTAAATTTTTCAAATAGGAAAATAAGTGTTGGTGAGGCAACATTTTGAATGTAATTAATGCTACTGAATTGTACATTTAAAATGGTTAAAATGGCAAAATTTACATTATGTAGTTATTTTACCACAATAAAAACCATGGTCATAATATATATAAATAATACATATTCATTACATATACAATAATAAATATATGTAACCATCCAAAGCCAGGCACTCAATAACAAAATAATCAAACACTTGATTTTAAGACTTGAGGATCATTTAAGTGCTGACTGAGAAGACAGGAAAATGTTCCAGGGAGAACAAGTCATCCTTTTAATCCTGCCCCCACATCCCACCCCCTGCAGCCATGGAGCTGCTCTAGAAGAGGCTCACCCAGACACTGGTATGGTCTGGAGTCCTGGAGGTCCTTATCTGGCAGGTCCCTCCCTGTCCACAGTTTCCGGGGCAGTGGAAGGGACAGAATGCATCCCAAGATTCATGTGCACAGGCACCTGGACCATGTAGCCCAGACTTAGCCATGGCTTCTATGTGAGGGAGGTCCAACACACCTGCACAGCCTTCTGTCAGCTGCAAGCGACACATAGCCACATGCTTGAACAGGCCCTCCCACTCTGAACAACCATTGCCACAGACAGCATGGGTCTATGCTAGATAGGTGACCACATTCAATGTGACAAGAGCTCTGACGCTGTTCCGGGGATTTCAGAGGGACCACAGCAGGCAGGGTGGGGTGGGGGGGTGTTGCATGTCTGCTGTCCTTCAAAGCAGTGCTCATTGTTACCAGTGACCTAGTTAACGAATAGAGCAGACAGAAAAATCATGAATGGATATTTAAAAAGCTTGGCACTTTTTGTAATTCAGCTTTCATTTTCATCATGGTAGTTTTGGAAGTAGACAGTGGGGACCGGAAGCCAGGGCCTCGCCTTTCAGTGGCGGCGGCTGAGGCCAGGGAAGGAGCAACCTGTCTGGGTCTATGGACCAACAGGGCAGGGCCAGGAATAGCGCCAGGACCCTAATTCCTAATGCAGGGCTCATTCTAGGGCACATGTCCTCTTATCAAAATGTCAATGGTGTGTGGATGTCAGAAGTTACTAAGCACTTTTTCTCAGTTAACTAGTATGGTTTAACCTTTAGAAATGACATAGGATGTGATGTAAGGAACATTTATTAATAAATCACGATTAAAGTAACAGATATTGAAATAAGTGGCCCAGCTCACTGGTAATATCTCAACTGGTGTCAAAGCCATAAAAAACAACAACAGCATCATAACCACACCTCCTCCCCCAATTAATAAGTGAAATTAGCAGTCTGGAGAAGGTTCAGAAGGCACAGGACAAGAAGAGAACCAGAAGAGGTATTCAAGTCTGAAATTATCCCACCACTCCTCACTCAAAAAATCCTCAGTGACTCCAAGCTGCTTACAGGACACACTTCTGACTCTCTGTCTGGCATGAAAGTCCCACTGTCTGTGCCACACCCCTTGCTGGTCCTTCCTGCCTGTCCACTTTCGAGGGTCCCCCAGCCCAGCCACACTGTGGCCCTCTTCATGGGGAATGACAAGGGCATCAGCTCAAGTCTCCTGTCGTTGCTGTTTTCAGTCCTGGGGCTCACACAGCGCTTTCCCTGCAATCCACCAGGCTGGGAGCCTGCCCCGAACTTGCCTGGATAAACCCAAATACCAGACTCGTGCCAGATTCTCATCTGGTTCTTTCCTGGTGAAAGAGGGAGGCAGGATGAAGAAAGACCAAACGCAGGACAAAACAACGGAGTTGATAGGTTCAGAAGTTATAAAGAAAATGCCATGAAACTGAGATGCCCTCAGAGGAAGCCAAATGTGGTTTGGTTTTGTAATCTCCAAATGCTGCATCAAACATGTGGCAGTGACAGACTGTAATAAAGAGCCACCGTTCTGAGGCAGGGGAAGTTGGCCCATCCCACATTAGACAGGAGTCAGGGCACACTGCCAAGCCCGTCCCAGCCAAGCCACGCTCTCCAGCCCCCACAGGGGTCCTCTCGCAGTGACACAGCCATGGCCACCACAAGGAGCTGCCGCCCCAGGAAGTCAGGCGCACCATCTCTCAGCACCAACTGCAGTTTAAGTCACCAAGACCCATTTCACATGACTTTAATAGCATTTGTAGCAGAAACCACAGCTGAATTGAGGATGCGTGTGCATTTTTTTCTCCCCAGAAATTTAACTCATTCCTCCATATGCTTAAGTTTCATCATACAGTGAGATCTCCTCTCTAAGGAAACATGAGATTAACCTCTAAAAGATCATCTCTTGAAACTAGGCTCTCCCTGCAGGAGGAAGAGTGAACAGCTGACCGTAGAAAGCACTGCCCCCGCCGCAGCAGCCCTGTCCAGTCACTGGTTACCACTTCCTCGGCCCTGAGGCCACTCCTGACTCACTAGGCAACTGTTTCCAGCACTAATGCACAGGCTCGCTAATAAGACTTATTGACGACAGTCAGGACCAGCTACACAGAAATGTGCTCTCAGGGGCTGTGGGTGAATTTATCCTGACCTCTCCCATCACTCATGGCTTTCAGAGGAAGGGTCCTCTCAAATTGCATAGCCACCTTCAGAATTAACAGATAAAATCCCTACATCCCCCATCACAAAGCCACAGGTTCCTTCCTCAGCCTCAATAACGTCATGGGAGGAGGGGGCAGATTCCAGATCCCAACAGCCTGAGACCTATGCTCCCATCCACTCCCAGGAGCATGGGCATGTCAGCCTTTATAGATCAGGGGCTCTCAAGCCCAGAGCAGACAAGAGCCACGTGTTCTGGAAGCAATTAGGAACCTGCCACACTTGCTAGTAGCAGCTAAAAAGCAGCATTTCTATGTCATTACAAAAAATGACTAAGTTAGACCAGGAGGAAAAAGTGACAAAACATGTATATTTAAATTACCCCACAGTAAAGATGAATACTTTTTTTCCCCAAAAGGAAAGGGCTAAGCTTAAGGACTCTATGCCTGGGCAGACACATAGAAAACAGGCTTGCAGGTATGTCTGCAGCACCAATGAACTGGTCTCTCCAAAGCAGAGCTGGGTCTGATGGGGCCTTAAAGCTATATACTGACCTACAGAGAGCATACTGCTCACCCTGGGGAAACCAAGTCAGGAAGACACAAATTGCAAAATGCTGATTTCAATGAATAAGCTGCAAAGGAAAAAGAAAAGATGACAGAGGGAAGCTATGCATTAAGGTGTTTCACCGGGCCCAGCACTCAGGTCTCACGGGCTCCTGAACTACAAATGCACAACACACTCCTGAAGTAGGATGACAGGGAGATGTCTGATGACAGCAGAAATTACTTTTTTTTTAAGGTAAGCTTGGTATGATGTTGGTTTTTATTTAATTACTTATTTTTATTTATTTTTTCAAAATATATTTTCATTGATTTTATTTGATACCTGTTTATTGTCACTTTAGGTAAATAACTAATTTAATATTGCTTCATAATGATATATGATCCTATTTAGCCAAATGTCCAAACTTTACTTTTTAATATATTTTTATTGATTTCAGAGAGAGGAAGGGAGAAGGAGAGAGGGATAGAAACATCAATGATGAGAGAGAATCATTGATTGGCTGCCTCCTGCATGCCCCCTACTGGGGATTGAGCCCACAACCCAGGCATATGCCCTGACACTCAACCAATGAGCCACACTGGCCGGACATAATGTTGGTTTTTTAAAAACAGTTATCTTTTAAAGATACATACTGAAATATTTAAAAATAAAAAATAATGTCTATGTATTTGCTTCAAAATTATTTAAAGGGTAAAAAAGCCATTTTATTGCCCAGCAATAACATAGGGAAAACAAATTAAAAGTATTTCTATCAAATATTATTTAAATTTCAACTTCCTGGATACAAAGTAGCCAGTCTCTTCAGAATCTAGTTGAGCACTTGAGAGAGATTACACACACACACAAAAACCTAACAGCACATACACAGTACACATGTACACATATGTATGCTGCATAGGCTCACACACATACACAGACTCACAGCACACACATACACCCACACAGCACACATGTACAGACTCAGCAAGGCACAGCACACATATGTACACACATGTACCAACTTAGCTCATGTGTATACATATGTGCATGGGTAGAAGCATAGGAAGGCTGTGCTGTCTGCATGCACAGAGCACAAGGACTCGGGATGGGCACTGTCTTTCTCAAATGGATGTCTCAAGTGGGTATCTCAGCAGCTCCTATGGGTGAGAGGCAAGTACAAGCCAGGGAGAATCCTTTTCAGGCAGGAAAGAGAAGAGAGTCACCTGCAAGGGAGGATGGAGCCCCCAAATGCATGTTACCTGTCTGAGTTCCTGGGTGTCCTCCTCAGAAATGAGTGGCTCGCTCATCTGTAGTTGAAGCAGCCTGCCCTCCTGGTTCCCCAAGGAGGGCTCTCGGTGCCTGGCGCAGTCCACTGGCCTGGACGCTGAAACACAAGTCAAACAGCAGTGACATCTTTCATAATGCACACAATGTAGAAGTACTTACGACTTTACAAAGATCGTTCCTGCTCTCTGGGCCAACGACATCTCTCCATCTGCAGTCTCTGCCTGATGGCCCCTCCCTGAGCCTCAGCTAAGCTGAGTGGCTATGGGGCCTGCCCAAGCCTTGCCTTCCATTCCAGTCCAGGGTGGTTTCCTTAACCCACCCCGATCCCAGTGAAACACTGTAAATACCTGGGGTCTGGTTCTATAACTGGCTCTCAGAAGAAAGGGCCCTATCCAGGAGTAATCATTTTCTTTATTAGAAAAGACTATAAATTTAAAGTTTAAGATAGTACTTGTTGAATCCTCATAAACCCACAGGACGCTCTGGGTCTGGAGAGCACTGGGATGGCCAGCTGACTGGCCAAACAAAGGTAACTGTGGAGCCACGAGGGAGGGAAAGTCTGAGAGCACAAGGCCAGGCATTGCTCAGAATGGGTTTCTGCTCCAACAGCACCTGCCTGTGTAATGTCCCCGAGGAGCAGAAGGGCAGCCTGGTTAGAGGCTGCTAATCAGGTGGCTCACAGCCCCTCCCATGGTGTGCCACCTGTTCTTTATTTAAAGAACTGACTCCACCTGTACCCTGGCACTGGGAACCCAGATGAGGGCATCACTTAGAGTCTGCTGCCTACTCTTCTGCACAGACCACCTCAGGTACACAGTAGTTACTGATTAGGATGCTGGAGAGGAGAGCAGGTGGCAGAAAGTACACAGATCTGAGAACCAGCACCAGATGCTCCAAGCAGCCTTCTCTGCTTTAGTGGAATGGGGGCACAGCAGGGTAACAGGTGACCCCCACCTCCTTCCCAGCGCCCTAGTGGTGGTGAGCAGAGCCGCCTTTCATTAGAATGGCTTGGAGCAGCTGCTAAGGAATGGAAAAGCAAGTCTGTTTCGGTAAGGCTCTCACTGGGCCTGAAGGGCTGAGGCCTAGCTGGTGGCCTTCAGGACACACCGACTGCACAGGTCCCTCCTTGGTGGGAGAGGTCAGCCACCCCTAACCTGCACACAAAAATGCCACCTCTAATCCTATTTCTTAAAAAAAAAAAATAATTCTTACAAATAACACTCCCTGAAGAGTGCCTGGAGGAGGAAGATGATGCTCGGTCTGTGGTCAGCAGACTCCTATCCTGCCTCAGGATAAAAGCAGGTTGTGATGAGACAGGAAGCAGGTTTCTCAGGGTCCCGGGAAGAAAAGGGCCCAGGCCAAAGGAGTAAGCTCAGGCAACAGAGGAGTAAGTCTGCCGAAGGCAAGACCCCAGCCCTCCCCCAGCCCATCTCTAACTGTGCGAGTGAAAAGCGCATCCTGTACAGAGTCACCACCTGGACCTCATCTCTAGGTCTGGAAAAGTCGCACAAGACAAAACATTACTGCAAACCATGCACTCGAATATCTGCTGTTCTAGGCCATTCTTTATGAAAATGCTAGTTGAAGCCCTTCTAAACAATGTCATAACTTGTGTTCTATACTTGCTAAAGCCCCACCTACTCCAACATCCTGGGGGGCTTGTTCATCAAAATGGTCCCCATTGTTCCAATGTGGTCTAGTGTCCCTCACTGGAACATCACATATGAAAAGTCCTTTTCTAAAGTGTCGGTCAGCAGCTGGGTTGAAAGCTATCATGGCAGAACAGAGGGAGTATCCTACTAGTTATTATTAGCCTAAAGGAGAGGCCACCTTACGCATGACATTAAAGCATTACCTGTGATGACACAATGGCAAAGTGCACTTCATAGGCCTGAGAGTAGCAGTTCTCTGGCCTCACTCAGCATGTACCTGTGCTCAGTCTGCCCCCTCACCCACCCCCAGCATGCTGGCCCCACCTACCTCTCCACCCCACACAGGTCCTGCACTTGGCCCTTCCATCTGCAGCAATCCTAGTGTTATTCCATTTGCACACCTTTTAATGAACTTGCTTGAAACTGCCCTGCTGTTTATTTTTTCAGCATCACTCCAGGATCTCTCTGACTAGCTTCTGTGAGAGATGGTCCATCCACTCACACTGTGCCCAGGACTGTGCTCGGGTGTCCATTTCAACACCTATAGCTATATTACTGACCGAGGCATACTCTTTTTGAATGTTTAGCGAAAGAGTATTATTTAAACAACCAGAAAGCCAAAATGGAGGAAATTCTTCCTAGAATATACTAAGTCAGAGATGTTTTTCAGGACAAGCCATGGGCTCAGTGGAATCCCGCCCAGCATAAGGCTTTGGCCACCCCCAGTGCTGTGTTGACACTGGAGCTATTGACTCAGTTACCTCAATGCTTTGAAATATCTTCTGAGAAAAATTAGTTTGGTTCAGTATAAGATGGTTTTTGACTCTAAAGTCATTAATTATCTGTTAACCAAACTAAGCACACATTGTTCCAGCTAGAAGGAAACTTACAGATGATTTCACTTTCCAGGAAGGAGAAGACATCGAGGAGGGCCTGACTGGGCAGCAGGGGCGGCACCAGAGGGCAAGTGTGAGGCAAGATTTCCATGGGGTGAGTGAGCAGGTGACCAGGGTGTCTTTAATTAGGTGGTTGGGGAAGGACTCTCTCGAAGGTGCCAGTCAGTAAACAACAAGAACAAAAATCAGTTCCGGAACCCTTAACAGTGCCAGGCATGGCCTGCTCTGATGGAGAAGGATCTGTGGGCTTCCTCCCACACCTGTAACTCCAGGACCATGAAACAACCTGGGAGCATGCTACGACTGCTAAAAACTATCAAGACCACCAAAGCAAGGAGAGTCTGAGTAACTGACACAGTCAAGAAGGGTACAAGGAGATGCGCTGCCTAAAGGTCACATGGGATCCTGAAAGAGTAAAATGTAAAACAATCTGGATAAAATATGGACTTAGGAGAATAGCAACGTATCTGTATAGGTTCATTAGTTATGACAATAAAGGAAGCTAATGTCGGGTGACAACAAGAGTGTGGAAGACATGGGAACTCTGACTATCCTTGTAATTTTTTCTGCAAGTCTGATACTATTCTAAAATTTGAAAGGTTATTTAAAAGATACTATGCAGAAAAATAGCACTTTGCAACTGCTCTTCCCTAAGGTGGAAAGTGCCCACCTGTGTCATTCAGGGCCCTCAGAGGTCCACACAACACATTACCTCAGAGGTCTCTGGAAAGTTCTACTCACCCAAGGCAAATACCTGTCTCCTGTTACTAGACTGCCACCTACTGGCCACATGTTTTACCCAAATACCTCATCAAGGAAAGGAATCCATTTCTGAGATGTCAGTCACTGTTTCCACCTCCACTGTCTCTGCAGTTTCCAATGTGGAACAGCAAAGACAGAGGTGATGGCAGACACAACACAGGCGACAGTGAGAAATTGACCCTCGTCGCTAGGCTTGCAGAGGACACAGTGAAGTTTCTAGCAAGTCAGATGCCATCTCACTTGCTAAACTCAACATGCTGGCTTCTTCCAAATACATCACTTCTCATTACCTGAGCCTCTCCAAACCCATAGCTGTAAGGTGCTCCTACTCTGTGAGGCAGGGTGGCCTCGCAAAGGGAGGATGGAACTTCTTGCTCAGAGCAGAAGAAGACACTCTGCAGGGATCCCACCCAGGGGCTAAAGTTAGCACCGAGATGAAAACCCATCTGTCAGCTCATTCCACACACATTGGATCCATTACCGTGAAAGGCCAGGCCACAGCTATTCAATCCAACCCTAATCTAGGTGTTTATAGTGTGGATAGAGGAGGCCTACAATCATTGACTTTAGGTAAGGGAGACTGTCCTAGATAATGTGGTGGGCCTGCTACAATCAGTTGAAAGGCTTTAAAAGCAGACCTGTGGCTTCCTGGAGGAGGAAGATGATGCTCGGCCTGTGGTCAGCAGACTCAGCCTGTGCCCAGGAGGTTCAGCCTGCCCTTCCTGACGACAGGCCTGTGGAACTTGCACGCACCTATCTTCCTACAGTCTGCCTGCTCCTCTCCAGCCCTGTCTGCCACCTGGGCTCTAGCGTCAGGGCCTGCCATCTTACCCTTCATGGCGTCCCTGACAGCAGGCCCAGCAATTTTGTGCAGAGTGACCTCTGTGCCACACATAGCGTGCTCGCATCTGCCATCTCATTCATTACATGCTGTGCCCTATTTTCTATCAGAAACCCCATGTCCAACAACCCACAAACATGGTGGAACTCTGTGACAAGGAGGGTTGTGGGTTTTATTTAGCATTTTTTCCCAAGACTATAGGTGCCGAATACCATGCCTGGCTCTGCAGGGTTCTCAGTGCTGGCGGAACCGGTGGCTGATGGTTCTGTGTGTCCCTACAGAGCCTCCTCCTCTCACTGCTGAGGCCTCTCCCATGGGAAAATGCAGTTGGTGACTCAGTCAAAACTTGGGGCATCAGAGCAGCTGCCCAGCTGGGCTTGTACGTGGCCTTGCCTGAAGGGCCCTCTGGTCAGGGTCTCACATTGGCTGCCACAGCCCACCATTCTTGCCTCTTTTATGGGCCAGCTTCTGAGTCCTCCTTGAGTGAGGGGGCCAAAGGAAAACCAGAAATGCCAAGAAAGTAAGTTTTTAAATTAAGTTTTTACATTAATATTTCTAACATTTTGGATCTCATGAGACCAGATCTATTATCAAGTATATATTTTTTGGAAACTCGAAGTCATCTAGAATAATATCAACATATTCATGTGTTAGGGAAATAGGTTACATATTAGAATTAAAATCAATCACTTAAGAGAAAGAAGAAAAGGAACCAGAATAGTAACAAACATCTCTCTTACTTTAACAGACATGCAGGAATCAAAGATACTTGTAAAAAAAAATCACATGAAATACAGAAGTAATATTACCTATAATTCTAGTATTAGAAAATATCAGAATATTTTATGACTTTAGTATTTCTTAAATGGGGCTCACAAACAAACTTAAGGGGGGAAATGGTGGATCTGACCACAGCAAAATTAAAGATTTCTGTAATGGAGGCTGACAGTCTGGGAAAGCACTGGCAGCCTCTCAAATCAATAAGGAATGAAAATCTAGAATACATAAAGAACTCTTGCAAATCAGACAAAACAACAACAACAACAACAAAACACACAGAACAGGCAATCCACAGAACAAAACCTGTGGGATTAAAGAGCAAATAAGCATCAGATGCTCTATTTCACAATCAGTGAAAGAAATTAAAATACCATCAAGATGCCACAGAACACTTGTAAGAATGGCAAAACTGAGAGGTCAAACATCAAGTTATCCCGTGCTATGGAGGACGCTGTGACCCAAGAACCTCGAGATGTGTGGACATGTAATATATCCGCATATCCTGCCTCCCACACTCCACCCCACTGGACATGCCAGCTACACCCTCCACACCCCAGAGACCTGCAAGAGAACACCACAGAGAAAGCAAGTTTTTCAGAATACCTCACGGATGCCCCATAAACTACCCAAACTATGCTGCATAGTTTTCAAAGATTCTGATACCTAAACACACACCTGGAAGGTGGTCTGGGAAGACCTCGATCAAATGTGAAGGAAAACAGGAGTGAGGCTGAGTAAGTTACTGATGGAGGGACTGGAGACTCAGCAAAGCAGGTGGGGGCTACTGCTAGTTAAGACCCCAAAATGCTAATTCTCAAATCAAATAGAGGAAAGAGTGAAAACACTTAACTCAGACCTCTTTGTTCTGAAAGGGTCATCAAAACCCTTTCTGATCTACTTGGAAATCTCTATAGCTTTCCAGTGTATAATAAACCAAAGTGATTTGAGATTCACAGTTGACAAGTACTAAGGAAAATGGTCTGAAATTATTTTTATTTACAATGCATCATGTTAAGCACATACCACAGGCAGTCTGAGACTTCCCAGGTCTGTGCACAGGCTGTGTTGATGGTCACTTACCTGCCTGCCAGACTGAGTAGCCCTTCTCTGCTGGGGAAGAGGTTCCAGTGCTTCTGAGCATCAAGGCATCTTCTAAAAACTCGATCTTCTTGCTGAACTGCATTTCCAAAATGGGAACAACTTCTGGCATCTTGGCAGATATCAAACGAAAAGTTATGTCTGGCTTCCCAATGAACCGCTGGCGGATGCTAACTTCATAATGTGTGTGAACCTTAATGTCATCTACATCTTCTCTTTCAAATCTGTGTAACAGCAAAGAATTTGAGTCATGGATTTCCAACCCAGAAACAAGGATGGTGAGCCTTCCTGGTTTAACATGAGATTCTGTTCCTTGGGAAATAACAGCAGGAATTCTGATCACTATCCCTTCTTTTCCAAGAGCTTTGGTACTAGCCATTGAGGAGCCTCCCCTGGAGTTTGTGTCTGATGGCATCTTCCAAAGCTTGAAGCTAAAGGGCCACCACGAAGGAGATTCCAGTTCTTTCAGCAACCTAGAAGATGAAACAACATACTAAAAACTAGGCCATGCAATTTTTAATACTTTAACTGCTTTAGCCTTTATAAAGCACTTTTACCATTTTACAGTTTTCTTTTCCACAAGTACTCCATGAAACAGAAAGAGCAGAAATGGTTATCCCCACGTTTTAAGAAAAGAAACCTAAGGCTAAAAGCAGTAGTGTTATTTGCGTACGGTATGTATACAAAGCTATTTGTAGTGGACACATTATCTTCAGACTCGAATATTATTACTCTTACCACAGTTAACCCTGGGTAATTCTGACTCAAATCCTGTTCTTAATCTCTAGAGAGGTAATAGAATTCTGGCAGTGATCTGTACTGTCCAATACAGTAATAGGCACATATGGCTACCGGGTACCTGAAATATAGCTAATGTAAGGAGGAACTGAATTTTAAACTTAAATTTAATGTAGTTCCTAGCTACCATATTGGACAGCACAACTCTAAAGTAACGAGTAACAGATATATCTAAAAAGTCAATAAAAGGGAAAAAAATAGAAGCAGGACTGGGAAAGCAAAGGAATAAGGATCAAATAAAATAAAACAAATAAGATGGTGGAATTAAACACAACCATATTAGTAATCATATTAAATAAAAATAGACTAAATTCTTTAATTAAAAGGCAGATTATCAGCTTGGAAAAAAAACAAGACTCAACTATAGCTTGTTTACAAGAGACACTGTGAAATACGATGACACAGATACATCAAAAGCAAAGGGATTGGAAAAAAGATATATCACGCTAAAAGTAAACTTTTAAACAAGCAGTGTACCAGGAATAAAGAGGGACCGTGTATAATAAGAGGGTTGAAACAACTGAAATATTTAATATTACTAAATATGTATGTATCTAATAACAGAACTTCAAAATTCATTAAGCAAAAATTGATATTATAAAAGGAGAAATAGATAATCACAGCTGTAGATTTCAACAAATTTCTCTCTATGATTGATCCAGCAAGAAAACAAAAATAATTAGTACGAATATAGAAATTTTGAGCAACACAATTTAACCAACTCAACCTGGTTGGTATTCATAGGAACAGCATCAACTGCTGAATCATTCTTTTCAAGTGTATTCGGAACACTAAAAAAAAAAAAAAAAAAAAAAAAAAAAAAAGAGTGCCCTGGCCAGTGCACTCACGCAGTGGTTCCCAACCTTCCTAATGCCGCGACCCTTTAATACAGTTCCTCATGTTGTGGTGACCCCCAACCATAAAATTATTTTCGTTGCTACTTCATAAATGTAATTTTGCTACTGTTATGAATCGTAATGTAAATATCTGATATGCAGGATGTATTTAGGAGACCCCTGTGAAAGGGTCGTTCAACCCCCAAAGGGGTCGCGACCCACAGGCTGAGAACCACTGGAGAGCACTGGCACATGCGCCAAAGATTCTCAGGTTTGATTTATGGTCAAGGGCATGTACCTGGGTTACAGGTTCGATCCCTGCCCCAGTCCAGTCGCGTGTGGGAAACAAGCAATGTATGTGTCTCTCTCACATTGATGTCCTCCCCGCCCCCCGCTCTCTCTTCACCATGTTCCCTCCCTTCCACTCTCTAAAAATCAATGGGAAAGATGCTTGGGTGGGGATTAACAAAAAACAAAAACAAAAAAAAAAGAGTATAACAAGCCACAATAAATATCAAGTATTGAAATCATACAGAGTATATCCTCTGTCCCCAGAGAAATAACACTAAAAGTCAATATCATTAAGCCAACTACACCCTAGCTGGTTTGTCTCAATGGATAGAGCATCAGCCTGTGGACTGAAGGGTCCTGGGTTCGATTCCAGTCAAGGGCACATGCCCGGGTTTCAGGCTTGATCCCCAGTGGGGGGCCTGCAGTGGGCAGCCAGTCAATGGTTCTCTCTCATCATTCTATCTATCTCTCCCTCTCCCCTCCTCTCTGAAATCAATAAAAAAAAAATTAAAAGATTAAAAAAATAAATAAAAAGATTTTTTAAAAATTCTTTTAAAAAAGGCCAACTAGAACATTCTCAAATATTTGGAAATTAAACACAATTCTAAATAAAGGACATCAAAATATGTGAAGTGAATGAAACTGAATACATAATACACACAAAATATGGAATACAAATAGAGCAGTCATGCAAGGTAAATTTATTGCTCTCGACGCATGCATTTGAAAACTTTTTGGAAAGGTTTAAAAATCAGTGATCTAAGTTTCTATTTAAAGAAGTTATTAAACCCAAAATGAAGTAGAAGAAAAAGTAGAAATCAATAAAATTTAAAACAAAATATATTAACAAAGCCAAGTTTTCTAACAAAAAAAGTAAGAGGAAACCAAAATGTGACCTATACACAGGGATAAAAACCCCACAAAAACTAAACTAAACAATCAATAGAATCCATTTCTGAAAGCATTCATATAGTGTATTTAATATAGATTTCAAAACACTTATTATAAATATTCAAGGAATTAAAGGAAACCAAGTTAAAAGGATTAAAGAAAAGCATAATGATGATGATTCATCAAACAGAGACTATTAATAGAGAGAAATTACATAAAAAAGAATCAAATAAAAATCCTAAAATTAAAAAGTTACAATAACCCAACAGAGAGTCCAGGAGCACATGGTTTTAGTGGTGAGTTCTACAAAACATTTAAAAAAGAATTAATACCAATTTCTATCAAACTTTACCAAAGCCAGAAGAGGAGAAAGCAATTTCAAACACATTTTATAAGGCCAGCATCACCTTGACACTAAAACCAAACAAGGACACAACAAGAAATTTCTAAGCAAATATTCCAGATGAACACAGATGCAAAAACCTCAACAAAGTATTAGCAAATCAAATTCAACAATAGGATCATATACCATGACTAAGTAAGATTTATTCCAAGATGAATGATAGTTTGACAACCAAAAACCAATCAATGTTACATATACCATGTTAACAAAATAAATAATAAAAATCATATGATCATCTCAATAGATGACAAATTATCAACAAGTGGCTATGGAAGGTTTGTACTTCTACATAATAAAGGCCATATATGACAAAAACCACAGCTAACAGCATAAGTAACAGTAAAAAGCTGAAAACTTTTCCTTTAAGATCAGGAACAAGACAAGTATGAGGTATGAGATATATAAGAAAACCACTTTTATTCAATATAGTATTGGAAGTCCTAGCCACAGCAATCAGACAAGAAAAAGAAATAAAGAGCATCCAAACTGAAAAGGAAGAAGTAAAACTGTTTCTATTTGCAGATGACATGACATCCTATCTAATGAAAGAGGAACATGGTAATTAGCCGTATGGCCGCTACCCTTCCCATTGGCTAATCACTGAGATATGCAAATTAACTGCCAGCCA